ATACTTAGCTGAGTTTGTAACCATGATGAAATATCTTTAGGCCATGGTGTTACATAGAAGGTAGATATGTTGGTCCATTGACAGCAACTTTCTTATTATTTCTTCTTATTGTGAAACGTTTCAGTAATTTGTATATTTATATCTTCATTTTTCTGTACAGTTAATTGTTCTTTATGCTATTGTATATTTGATCTATTCAATTTCCTCTTCCATGGAGATTCCGAGTGTCGTGAACAAGTTGATATTACTTTGACAGATATGATCTCCTGCCCACTATGACGTGGCAATGTCCCCACGGTGAAAACTATTTTTACTTTTCTAAAAGTTATCCCACACCAAGTTATTCAGTTTTCTCGTTTACTAGAGGTAAAACACCATTATCCTCGTATTTTTTGGTCCACAGCTACTACCTCTTATGGAACTTGCACTGTCTAAAAAAATAAACAATTTCAATAATAAAAATTTTTAAAGCTGGATCCAACTTTAGTTTCAAGAACTATGATTGATTGTACCTATTGTGTTGACATTCAAAGGAGAACAAGAATATGGATTTTTTTATTTTTTCCCCGGGGGGGAGGGGTGGGGGGTGGGGATTATCTAAAGTAGGCACGGACTTATTGAAAAATTTTGTCATTTTGATCCATACAAAGATATGGTTCTTGTCCTATATTTTAATTAATTAGTAACGTGTATGTAAGCAAATATGTCAGCAGAAGTAACCATTTTCTCCAACTTACCCCTTAATTATATATAAAGTCGTACTAAATATCCCATAAAATGTGACAATTAAAAAATCTTCGAGGTCGGTTTAATACTAATAAGGGAGTATACGTGTTATTCAAAATAAGCATTTAATTCGAGGTAAAATATTAGCTTTGTAATCATTAAATGCAAAAGGGATAGAGTTTTGCGTGATGTCCAGAGTCACATGGCCCTGGACGTTCAGAGGTGCCATTTGTGCACGCCCCGAGTCACATGGCCCTAGACAGAGGGCTTTGCCCAAAAGGGATATTGTTTCTCGAAATTTGTTATTCGTACACTGATTTTTGATACTTTAGTTGACATTTGCATTGTTGTCAAGTGCCAATTGAATGAAAAAATTGTTTGAAATCTAAACTGTCCAATAGAATAATGACACGTGATAAAGTGTAAATTAAAGTATATATCATAGTGTACATGTAACAATGTTCTTGTTTCTCTTCAAATGTATACATTATTGACACGTTTGATGGAACGTGAGAGACGCTTCTTATAATTTTATAGAGTTTTATCAAAATTAACTTATCGAATTATCTTATATTTAATGACTTGATAACTCAATCATTATGACTACTTTTATTATACTCTTTCGTTTTCTCCAAATCTATTCCCCCTATTTTTTACTTGTATTCGTGGACCTAACATGAATTATTTAGAACCACAATTATTTATTAATTACTATCTAATTTGTTTCATTAATGCATGATTAGTATTTCTGCTTTAGGGCGATTGACTATACTGTTCCTTTGGTGATTATGACAGCATTTAGAGGTGGATTAAATTCTCACCTATGTCGTAGAAATTATTGAACGAGGGAGGCCGTTTATTAGTGTAAATAATTAAAAATAATTATTTAAATTTATTACCACTTAAGTAGGTACTTTATTAAAAATATGATTCGTGAATAATCTTCGTAAATAGCTCGGAGACCTTTTGAATTAAAAAAATTTGCATGCTCATAAGTGTCTTCAATAATATCATGTCAAAATTCAAGTCGTAAAAAATGGGAAAATATTCATTAAATCTCATCAAATTAAATTAAAATTTTATCTCTAATATTTTCAACCACGCAATTTTCAATAAAATAATATTACACGTAAATCGAAAACTTTTCATTCTTTTACGACCATCTATTTTGGAAAAAAAAAAAAAAAAAACATTGTTCCCCTATTATAATAAAATATAATGAGGGCCAAACAGGGTATATTTCATCTCCCACACGAGACAAATTAACAAGTGTTTCACTCGTTAATGTTAAAATCCAGCAATTTATCTAGAATTCCCTTGAACGCAAATTAGATATTTGAAGTCAATAGGCTGCTGCACAGCAGTACCACAATAATGTAGTTTATTATTATTATTATTATTTTGATATTCAGGTATCCACCTTACAGTGACTAAATCTTGGAGTCTACACCTTGGCCCCTCAAGTTGCAGACACGTTAAATCGCAGGTTGTGCCCCAAACTGACCAGTGCTCAAGAGCCCCCCCAATTGATCTGCCAAAGTGCCAAGTAAGTCGTTTCCCATCTTTGCACTTTCCCTTCCAGTAGAGCTCCTGCCTTTCAGGATAAATCCTGCCTTCCAGGAGAATATCTGCCTTCTAAGAGCCTTCCAGGAATTGAACTCACGACTTCTGATCTGCCAGTCTTGAAGCGCTCTCATCTTTGCCAATTGGGATGTGCCTTGGGGTGCAAGAATGTAGTTTATTTTTATCGTATTAATTACTCTCTCAGTTGAAAATTCAAAATAGACGTATCATCTTATAATATTCTTTCGAAAATAATAGACCTATGCCGTCACAAAGAAGCATAATGTAATTTGTGGGTCACGATAAATTTTAAAAATTTGAAGACATGGAAATGTGCACAAAATTTTGTAAGTTACCATCTTTCTATTGATGTACTAGAGAAATGTCATTGCATGTCGTTGTGCAAGTTGTTAAGATATAATTACTTTATTCTAGTAAGAACTCATTGTATTTTTAATTTAAACTTTCCATCCAATAAAAAAGTAGATAGAGTTCCACCAAAATGCTTTGGTGTTTGACTCTTTGCTTCATTCCATTTTTCGCCGTGGTAAAATCCACGAGAATGGAATGTTACCCTTTCACAAAATCAAGTTTTTTGGGTTCACCGTTATTGAAAGGGAGAGAACTCCATTTTCCTCCTCTTGTTTTTATTTATTTATTTTTTGTATACCAAAATATATGCAAAAATCAATTTATTTATTTATTTTTCTACACAATTTAAATTTTTTTAACACAAGCTAATATAATATTGTATGATACACATATATTAAAATGAATAAAGGCAGGGGTAGACCCACAAAGGGATGAGTGGGGTCGGCCGCCCTGACTAAATTTTCAAAAACTTTCGATTGAACCTTTTTAAATTTAAATTTTTAGATTTTTTTTTTATTTCTTTCACAATTTATTTTAGTCTATTTTCTGTTTCGCCCTCACTGAACTATAATTCTGGGTCCGCCCTTGAATAAAGGAGCAAAAATATAACCTATGCGAAATTGGTTCTAATTATGATGGTAGTGGACACATTCTCCTCCTTGAACTTACCCTAAAAGATCCTTTGACATGTGAGACTCTACCTTAATAAAATTATATAAAAGAAAAAAGAGTTAAAATCTCGATCGTTTGTCAGTCTATATACAAAAAATAAATTTCCGTATCTCAATAATATTAACTAAAAAATCTTACCCTACCCATCCCCCCTCTCCCCCGCCACACATACACAAAGGATCCTTCCCTTGATTAATTTCTTAGCCGACGTTTGATGGGGATTAAAATAGGTTTTTAGCAAATTTTGATAAAATTTAATGAAATGTGTAGTTGAAAGTTGTAGATCCCATGAAATATATTGTTAAAATTAATTGTTGACTTTGACTTAAATTAAAATTTTGAGTTTAATCCCCGAACAATCGTTGAATAAAGACAATTTGAGCAATAAATGTATGGTGTACTAAGAGACAATTCATCACATGACAATCATGTCACTCTTTTCGTCCCCACCCTCTGAATTTCCGCTCATTACCTATATATAAATACTGCTCTTTCTGGGCATTGCTTCTCAATTCTTACACTAGAAACTGAAAATGGAGAAGGAAAATATTGAGTTACAGAAGAAGAATGTGGCTGAAAATGGGGAGGAAGAGAAGAAGACTGATGTAATTACTTCCAAAACTAAAAAGCTTGGAGGTGTTAGAACAATGCCATTCATTCTTGGTAAGTTCACAAGATATCTCAACACACATACACACTAAATTTGTCTACCTTTGAGTTTTCCTTAGCGTGTTATTGTTTGGTATGGTCGACTCAACATGAAAAGTGTCGAACTTTGATGAAGCATTAATCACAAATGCTTCTTAACTTGTGAGTTTTCCATTTACGAGCTTTAGTGTTTTACATTTACAATACTGTTTGGTATATTCGACTGAACATGAAAAGTGTCAATTTAACTAAATAATTTTCCGTGTTTTATACTCACATCATCACTTGATACGTTGGATTGATTTTGGTCCGGGCATGTGCTTCCCTTCACCATCACCATCACCATCACCATCAGAATGGTCTACAAGATTCATAACTACTCTATTGTAACACAAGATTCCCCTTTTATATGGAAAAAGCCCCACGAAATTTGTTAATAAGTGATTGTTCGATAATGGGCAAGGAATACCCGTCTTGAATGCTAAAATTACACATTGAACTTTTGTAGCCCATATGATATATTCGTAACAATGAATGAAAGCAAAAAATTCGAAATTAAACCTCCCTTTTGTTTTGTGACTGGAAGGTTTCCTCTTTGGAAAATAATGCCTTTTTTTCCTTTTTCTTTTTCTCTTTTGGTTGACCTTACATGAAAAGGTCATTGACGATTAAAAATAGATAGCTGTCCGATTAATGTGAAGTGAAGGTCACTGACGATTAAAAATAGATAGCTGTCCGATTAAACTTGGGATAAGCTTTGATACGAAATGGCGTTTTTTTCCAAGCACATCTAGCGCACAGAACACAAAGTAAGCCTAAATGTTGTCATTTTTATGCTACATAGGATTCCAATAATAAATACAAGAATTGCACGAGGATTTATAGTGCTTGCTTGGAATTACTTAAAAAGTTGTTAAAAAATTATGTTAAAATTAATTATTAATTTTAACTATATATTTTATAGTATTCATAATTTATATTAACTTTATACTCGTATATTTTATCAAAATTTGCTAAAATTTTATTAAAAAACTTTGCATGTAACCCCATATGATTATTTTATTTTATTTTTTCGAATGCTGATGTTATGTCACGAATATAAAACGAATTCTTTGTCACTTATTTGTTCAAATAATCATTAATTATTTAATATTAGCTGAATGCTGCAATAGTAACATTCTATAAATGACATTTTCTGTTCATAAGTTAAATGATGGTTGTTATTATATAAATTACTTGATGTAGGACATGAACAATGCTTTATTTGGCTGGTCTTGTTAGAAGTTAACTACATTGTTCTTGTTATTTGGAGCCACTTCCATCGGTATTAATTAGAAATATATCTTTGTAATAATCAACACGTTATCTCCAGGTTGATGTTAATATGTATAATGGTTCGGGATTAATTTTTCTAGTTCTTTCAAGTTTAATATGGTTCGGGAAGACAATAACGTTACTCAAGAATAAACTTCACAGGATAGTCTATATGAATGAATTTGAAACCACGGTCGAGCTGATGGAATTACGACGTTTCAATTATTAAGATTTAGAGTTCCATCTTAGAAGATCAATCTTATTAAGATGAGTAACTCAAGTCCTTATAAGTTGGTCTATATTTTGATAATTAGTTAATGTGAGATTTATTCTTTAACATGCCCTGTAAGACGATTACTTATTTGAGTTGGCCAATTTTGAAATCCTTGTGTTCATTTTTAAGTTTTAATCAGATTGAATAGCTCGTTGGAGTTTAATGAACTTTGATAACATATTAAAACTGAGGTTTCATTTAAAAGAAAATCAACTTTATTAAGAGAAGTAGTCATAGATTTTATATGTTGGTTTATATTTCGGTAACTATTTGATATGAAATTTATCCCTTAAGATTAGTGATTTCGTACCAGATATGTTCGACGAAATGCCTAATCGTAACATAGATCAGTGAAATTTGATTCTAAGCAATATAATCTGCATGTCAAAAGGTTATGTTACTTGACGCTGGGAGTAGATTTATTAGTTTTGTGTTGATCTTTTGCAATTGCAAAGCTTACCTTGCATAATAAATCCTTTTATATGATGGATTTAAAATAAATGCCCATTTTTGCAGCAAATGAAGTATGCGACAGATTTGCTAGCGCTGGTTTTCATGCAAACATGATTTCATACCTCACTCAAGTGCTGAACTTGCCTAATGTCAAAGCATCCAACACTCTCAGCAATTTTGCTGGAACCTCAAGCTTCACCCCGCTAATCGGTGCTTTCTTTGCCGACTCTTTCGCTGGACGGTATTGGACAATTGTAGTTGGTTCCATCATCTATGTGCTGGTTTGTCACTTCCTCTCTCTGTTCTGAAAAACAAAAAATCGCAGATGATGATAATATGTAGTAATGTGGATTCTTCATTTCGACATGAGTTCTGAAAAAGTTCCATTCTTTTTAATTTTTTCTATGTGTTTATGGATCCCCAAAACTGAATTCAACCTTTGGATGTTTATTTCGCACGTCTCAAATCCACAGTGGGACCTAAGAAGCTCACAAGCATGCACGCGTTTGAAGTTAAAGATATTCGTCTCAAGTGTTTTTTGGATTACTAGAATGCAATATCATATTTCCGAACAACATATGTAACAGGGAATGATTTGCATCACTACATCTGCTTTCCTGCCTCGACTCCATCCTCCGCCGTGTCCAACTCAGGTGAACTGCAAGGAGGCTTCCAATCTACAGCTATGCATTCTCTATATTTCTCTTCTCTTGACGTCGTTGGGTACTGGTGGAATAAGGCCTTGTGTTGTTACATTCGCTGCTGACCAGTTCGATATGAACAAATCAAAAACCGAGATTAAAACTTGGAATTTCTTCAATTGGTACTATTTCTGTATGGGAATGGCCTCTTTGGCTGCTCTAACAATTGTGGTTTATATCCAAGACAATGTGAGCTGGGGTTGGGGTCTTGGAATTCCAACAATTGCCATGGGCTTCTCTATTATAGTTTTTATTTTAGGCTCTCCTTTGTATAGGAACGTAAAGATAGGAGGTAGTCCATTCGTTCGAGTGACACAGGTAATTGTTGCAGCTGTGAAGAAAAGGAAGGTTGTTGCTCCGACTGATCATCGTGTCCTGTATGAAAACAGAGAACTTGATGCTGATATTTCTTCCAATGGGAGGCTTCTGCACTCGAACCAATTCAAGTAAGTAATAACATAAATTTCATTCGAAGTAATGTTGCTTAGCACCACTGGTGTTAAAATACCAATTTAGGTGGCACTAATGTGGCATTAAATAAGAAGATCAAAGCTACTTTGTCTTTCATTTTGGACATCTTCGTTGACATTCCATGATGTGTAAGAAATTTGGCCATTGATTTGATTAAGTGTTGTTCAAATCAGTGGCCATATTGCCTGCCATATCATGGAATCTCAACAAAAGTGTCAGTGTAGCAAAAGTGAAAAAAGATGTACAATTTTTAATTGCACCTCTCATCGAGCTTATCGCATCACGCCCGTTGTAGTACCACTGGTGCTAGATAGTATTATTCTTTCACCTGGGCAAGCAACCAAATTTAGATTGCGAAACTAAAAGCTATACAAGATACCTATTAGAAGTCAGTTATTATTGTTGCTTTTCCATGACCTGAATATTTTGATGATCTTATATATTTCTTGATATGATGCTGTCTGAAGATGGTTAGATCGTGCGGCTATAGTAGCTGATTCTGACGTGAATGAGTTGTCTCAACCAAATCTATGGAGGCTAGCCACTGTCCACAGAGTTGAAGAGCTGAAGGCAATTATCAGAATGTTGCCTATTTGGGCAGCAGCGATATTGCTGGTCACTTCACACTCTCATCTCAACAGTTTTACCATCCAACAAGCGCGAAGCATGGACCGTAGACTGTCCCGTTCCTTTGAGATACCTCCGGCTAGCATGACCATTTTCAGTACTCTTACTCTGCTAATTGGCCTTCCTTTATATGAGCGCGTGTTCGTCCCCTTTGCTCGTAAGTTCACAGGAAATCCCAGTGGCATCACATGCCTGCAACGAATGGGAGTCGGGTATTTCATTGGCATTTTTGCTACTATCGCTGCAGCACTTATTGAGATCAAACGAAAAGCAGCTGCAGCAGATCATAACCTTCTGGATAAACCGACTGCCATTATTCCCATTAGTGCTTTCTGGTTGCTTCCACAGTACTGCCTTCATGGAATAGCTGAAGTTTTCATGTCCGTTGGTCACTTGGAATTCCTTTATGATCAATCCCCAGAAAGCATGAGAAGCACTGCTGCTGCACTCTACTGGATAGCTATAGCAATTGGAAACTATATAAGCACAATCATGGTGTCCTCAGTTCACAAGTATACTGGTGAGGAAAGGAACTGGCTAGCTGACCGTAATCTTAATCGGGGAAGGTTGGAGAATTATTATTGGCTTGTGACAGTAGTACAAGTGGTAAATTTGATATATTATGTCATATGTGCCTCGTTTTACACGTCTAAGCCGATAGAGGTGCTGAATGAAACTGAAAGCAGGGAAGAAGATATTGAGTGTTTTGACAATACAAAACCACTGCTAAATGATTCTGAAGTAGATAAGGAAGTAGAGCTAGCGAGAAATTAGACCAAACTGACATCTTTAGTTGGGTAGACTGGATGTGACTCATCAGTATTTAGAATGAAAAACTAATCCTTCCATTCAGAACTGCTTAGTAAACATTCGAGTTAGGATTGTTGACGAGAGTTTTTTTGTGGAATCCAAAGGCCCCCAATATAGAGAACATATTTGGGCACTTACTCTAGTGTGGAGCAAGCAATTCATGTGATGATTGTAAGTGTTATGTTCTAAGTCCAATCAATTTTGGATATAAACACTTTTAATAATTGATGTAATTTTTTGACGGATTTATTAATTAATTAAAACTCAATTAAATTAAATAATGGAGTCTGCAAATTTAAGTTTTTGTAATTTGTTAATCAGAAGGAGTTATGATTGTGAGATATAAATTATATATGACTAAATTTTAAGTTATCCGTAGTCATAAGTAATAATGTGATACGGATATCGTTATTACGGATAGACTATCATGTGTGACATTTCTTACTTATAAAGTATGTAGCTGATTTTACTGACTAAAGTGTAGTGATATTTAAATAAACAAGTAAATGTTTTATTATAGAAAAAAATACTAGGGACTCACTGGGGAGATTCCACATGGATAATTATCTGAGTGCAGTGATTAATCTCTAATGTCCAGTAGTAAAATTTGTCCTTTGCTTGAGCTCATCATAGTGTCTTATATGAGAACAGTAATACTTTGATGATGTTGGATTTGCTTTGTCAAGGGTCCTAATACAACATCGTTTAAGTATGTTAAGAATCATACGAAAGTTGTGAATGATCAATAAATGATTTGTCATTCTTAGATAGTAACAGATTATGATTTACTTTTCATTTAATTAAGTTAATAATGAAATCCTTAATCAAGGTGTACTTATAAGTAGAAAATGAGTTTTCGATTTATATTGACTTAGCCCTTGTTTGAGCCTCACTTTTCTAAAAATGTATTTTTTCAAAACTCATTTTCAATCACACGTTCTCCAATAAAATAATATTACACACAAGTCTAAAACATTTTCTTAATTTTTAACTACACATTTTCAATCAATCTACCATTCCAAAATATATTATTTCCCTAAAATAGGGCTCAAAGAAGGGCTTAGTAGTAGAATGAAAGATATGATCAATAATTGAGATTGACATATATTCATATTTTATTATTGATTGGATCATATTAACGAAAGGGATTATAGTTTCATAGTAAACGAACAAATTTGATTTTGTCATACTATGCGATATTTTTGTCACATGTATTGTCCTAACACATTGTTAGATGTCAATTTCGGACGACAGATGGGAATTGGTGATAAATTAAAAAGGGTCATTTTAATTATCGATTTTTATTGGAGCAAAATAATAATTCACATTGTTAGGAATCGTGATTGAGAACCTAATGTGTTACACACAAAAGGAGAACTAGAAGAATATGACTTACTAATTAACTAATTAACAAGTGTTGGATAATTAATTAATTATGTTGCTTGTTAATATGTTTGAATTAATTAATTAATTGGATAATTAATTCATATTACACAAAAGTCTAAAACATTTTCTTAATTTTTAACCACGCATTTTCAATCAATCTACTATTCCAAAATACATTCTTTCTCTAAAATAGGGCTCAAACAAGGGCTTAGTAATAGAATGAAAGATATGATCGATAATTGAGTTTTGGCAATATCCATATCTTATTAATGATTGGATCATATTGACGAAATGAATTATAGTTTCACAGTAAACGAACAAATTTGGTTTTATCATACTACGTGACATTTTTCGTCACAGGTATTACCCTCACATATTGTTAGATGTCAATTTGGGACGACGAATGTGAATTGATGATAAATTAAAAATGATTATTTTAATTATCGATTTTGATTGGAGCAAAATAATAATTTACATGGTTAGGAATTGTGATTGAGAACCTAATGTGTTGTACACAAAAGGAGAACTAGAAGAATAAGGTTTACTAATTAACTAATTAACAAGTGTGGATAATTAATTAATTGTGCTGCTTGTTAATATGGTCAAATTTAATTCATAAATCAAATTTACTTAATTGGATTAATTAAATATTGGACCGGATTAATTTAAGAGACTTGCCAAACCGGCTTTGAACTTATATTAATAGCCCGCTATTAAAAAATTGTAAAAAAAAAAAAAATACAATTTCACATTCTTGTTAACACACAAAAAAAGGGAGAAAATTCTAGTTCTCTCAATCTTCTTCCTTGTGTGGATTTTCGTTGGAAACTAGACAATTGGACAATTGTGAATTGCAGATCTTGATTGTTCGAGTTCAAGAAAAACAGAGAAATTTGCAGAATTCAATAAATGTATAATTCATATTACTGTTTCTATTTAAATACAAAGCGAATTCTTGGTAGGAATTGAAATTTTGTTTATTTTTCGCCGTGCATGATTAAACCCTTGTTTGATTCTCAATCTTATAAAAATTTATTTTTTTCAAAACTCGTTTGTAACTATACATTCTTCAATGAAATTCCTTGTTTGCTTGGGCTGCTGATATTCAATCTCCCGATGACTAGTTTCACGGCCTAATTAGGGACTAAACATAGTAGTCCAATAGCCCATGGAGTAGGCCCGAATAAACCAGACCGACGGGCTCAAGTAATAATGAAATTTTGGACACAACTTGCGAAAAGCTAGTTGATTTATAAAACTTTGTCAATCAGATAACGCTTTAAAAAAATTGGTGCCGAACGATTTATTTTACTATCAACAAGAACTTGAATAACAGAACAATGCCTAATAATTTTAATGTGTTTGCACGTATGTGCAATCCTACTTATGTTAATTAGAATTAGGTGGAAATTACACACATATAGTATTTAACTTTCCAATTCAAAAATCAAGTGTTAAAGTTTTTATTCAAAAATCAAGTGATAATTTAAATTTTTTGTATTAATAGTAATATTATAAAATTAAATTAATCTACAAACTGACGCACCCTCGCTCCATGTACCCCACCAGATTTCACTCCCAAATCCTAATCATTTTGCTTTCTCTTCTTTCTATCCTCTTCCTTCTCTCTTTTCTGACTTCATCACACATGGAAGACCATGGTCGGAAGCCCACCGTCAAGAGACTACCTTAACGGCGCTCTTCGTTGTGACAATGACACAACAGCGCATGATGTGGGTTTTTTCCTGATTTTTTTTGTGGGCTCTATAGGTGGTTTATAGATAGTTTTAGCTGTGGTGGTATTTTGACCCCAATCTTCTACTTAATTAGAGTTTTAAGGTGATTTGTGTTGATGGTTATTGGTGTTTTATAAATGGCGGTGGTGGTGTAGGCGGTGATAGTGAGGTGGTGGTGTTACGATGATAATGGTGCAGGTGGTTGTGCTGGATATAACTGTGAGGTGGTGATGGTCACAAATGGTGCCACTAGTAGTAGTGGGTGTAGGCGACGGTGGTGATGCTACTGGTGGTGGTGAGCTGGCACGACGTTCGATTGGTTTGGATGATGGATTGGAGTGTGGGGTTGAGTGGAGGTGGCGATGGGGTAGTGTGGGATAAAGAGTGTATGTGATTAATAATTTAAGAGATTGTGTCCAACAAATTAGTTAATTTGTGAATAATAAGTAATACATGAATGATTTAAAAAGTGAAATTTGCGATTAAATTTGAAACCTTGTCTCATAATTTGTGAAGTAGTGACCAATTAATTTATAATTTGTTATCATAAAATAAGATGTGACCTATAAAATTTATGATTCATGATCGAAAAATAATATGCAACATATTATTTTGATAATTTTTTATTAATAAATAAGTTGTGACTTATAAAATTTATTATTTATGATTGAGAAATAACATACAACAAATTAATTTGATAATTTATGATCACTAAATATGTTGTCATTTATAAAATTTATGATTTATGACTTTAATTTATTGTGATTGTGACTAATAAGTAATTGTAATTATAAAATATATAATATTGTGACCTTAATATATTTAATTAAAAAAGCATATTTAATTATTTATTTAATCAATGAAATTTATTAATGATCTAATTTTTGAAATTTTAGAACATATTTATTAATTTTGAAATTGTGTCTTTCAAACACTTCAAATATGTATTATTCCTTTTGAATTAGTGTGGTCAAAATGGGCATGCTGCCTGAGCGAAAGGTGAGTCTATTAAGAATGGGGAATATATATGACCACTATCTTTCAAAATACACGCTCAAACTTTACAAATTTGATAATCACATTTTGTTATATCTAATAAAATGTTATTACCTATATTTAATCAAACATATCATGGTCACAAAAAATACACAATTTATGATCATGATCACATATAGTCACAAAATTACACAGTCGCAGCCATGTACCACATAATTTATGGGTCTCAAATTTTATATTAAGTTACAATCACGCAATTAATGGGTCACAAATATTTTATTAGTCACAAATCACAATTAACTAGTCATAGTCACTCTTCATCTCTACCCACATCATCCTACAATACTCTGCCACCATTAGGACTGGACATGGTCCGATTCGGTTCGATTCTAACGAGAAATGAACCTACACGAAATTTTAGGGTATTTAGTAAGTGGAACCGTTTGATCTAAATTTAATTATGGAACAGTATGCGTTCGGTTCCATTCGGTTCAGTTCGGTTCCGAGATTCCATATTATAATTAAATTTTTTAATATATACAAAGTTACATTAATTTAATTAATAATATGTTCAATCCTAGCTCTTACAAAATAACGTAGTTCAATCTTATGTATTTTTTATGTCTCTCTTTGTTGAATTCTTAATAAATTTAATTATTAAAATTACATGAAGAGAAAGATAGTGAGCTCAAAATAATTAAGAGAGACGTTGTAGAATTTTAATTCGATTTTCTCCAATAGAAACGACGCTATAATAGAGTAACAGATTTGGATAAAATTGAGGTTAATTTGATTAAGATGACTTTGAATTGAAAATTAAAAATAGGAAAATCATATATTTTTTGTTTGAATTAAATTAACTAGTTAACAAATTTATTTAGAAAAAATAAAATAAAATTTCTTATTTAAAATAAATTAATTAAAAGAATTAGGGAGATTCAGTTCTTCGGTCTTAGCCTAGAACCGAGAATCGAACCATATCCGTCAGTTCTCGATTCAAATACTCGTTCGAGTATTTAACTTGAGAAGAACCGTCGAATTCGGTTCGGTTCGGTTCGGTTCGATTTGTCGGTTCGGTTCGAGAGTTTATATCCAATCCTAACCACCATCGACATCTACCAAATCGTCGATACTACCTCAAATCCTCAATCACCACAGCCACTAGCACCACCTCCACCACCCAAAATACTCTAAAATCAATTGTAGGCCATTTCTTGGATTATTCCGCTAGTTGGGATTTTTCAACCTAGCTCATTAATCAGTTAGTTTGGCTCGATTTACCAAAAAATTACTATTACTATTAAGTTTTAAAATAATGTTATTCACAGTCACTTATTATCGCAATCTTTCTATGTGACATAAATGTGACAACTAATGATTTAATATATAAGGTAAGAAAAAACTACCACATTAATACAACAAATCACCAACCACTATGTAGGATGCCACGTAGGACATCTACCATAGTGAGCGATTATGAATATCATTACTCTAAATTTTACTTAAAATGTTATTAATATTTCAGAAACAATTAGACAATATAACATATTCATGAATATACCAAACATTTTAAATTTTAAATTAAAAAATGACAAGTAGATCAAGCTGGCTCGATTAACCCACGATATAAGTAGGATGGAATGGCAACAAGCGGGGACAGGTCGTCCTTGGCCATGCCAGGGATTTCGTGAGTTGAAGCGATAATTAAATTATCCCCATTTTCCATCCCTCTAAATTATTTATTTTTAATATATTTTATTTAAAAAAATATAATTTAAATGTCAAAACATAAAGTAAAATAATATATATATATATATATATAAGAGTCGTTGCGGGACCATAATTCCAATCCAACCCCATTCGGGATGTGGCATTTTGCCATCCCTACATATACTTGAGATTCATGGATCGGTCTAGTCTACATATTTTGAAGACAATTCTTGCGAAGTCCAGACCATGTTTTTAGATAGACTAGTTCAGGCTTTCAGAATCCATCCATTTTGACAATTTCAATTTTCTTATGAGTTATGCTTCAGAGTTCCGTTCCAGGGTTGAGGTGCTGGTTCCAGGGTCGAGGTGGCAGCACCTTGACCCTGGATCTTCACAGACGAGGAGCTGCCGCTTTTACATCGGGGGCCGAGGTGGCTGGATGGAATCCCAAGATTTTATCCAGGGATCTCTAGCATTTTTGTTTTCTTATATACCAGAAGAGGACCCACACCTCTCTAAGTTTGTTATACAAATGAGAAAAATCTGAACTGAACAAAACCAAAGGAGGGAAACTAACGACTTATCTTCAACTGAAATACGCACACTATATTCTCACACTCTCCTCAATAATCTTATCCTTCAGCAAATAAGCGTTCATTCACAGAGACATTTGAAAGAAATGGCAGAATCTCCCAATACAGCAATCTGCTTAGTCACTGATGCCCAAGTTTCAGCTTTACCTGAGAAAAGTATTGGGACCAAAGGTTTGCTTAAAACTATTCTTCAAAAGGGAAATTCATGGCAAACTCCAATTCCTGGCGATGAAGTTGAAGGTACAAATATTTATTTTTATCAAGGTACAATTTTTATGGACTTGACTACAGTTTCTTGACTCTACTGAACAGTCTCACTAGAGGAGATACACTTATTTATTTAAACTGAATTTCGACATAATCACCTGGAAGCATTCTGACACAGAATTTGTTCTGTTTCTTGTGACAGTTCATTACAGTGTTAGGCTTCAAGATGGAGAATATTTTGATTCAAGTCGCAATAAGGGAACTCCTTTTGTTTTCAAATTAGGCCAATGTATGTCCTGCACTATCCCATTTTTGATTTTTCTGTGTATTCAGTTACAGAATTATGAAGTTCTAGCTTTATGTTTATTAGCAGTTTTATTATGACAATTTTATACATATTAGTGGATAGAATTGTGTTTTCTTCAAATAAAAAAAGCTATGGTTTTCGCCCTGACTTTGTAACTCACCGTCCATGAACGAACCTTGGAAAAAACTGTGACAGGTGAAGTTATCAAAGGATGTGACGAGGGAATATCCACTATGAGAAAGGGTGAAAGAGCAGTTTTCACAATACCACCAGATTTAGCTTATGGGGAAGCTGGTTCTCCACCTATGGTTCCTCCAAATTCCACACTCATTTTCGATGTAGAGTTGATTTCGTGGAACCCCATCAGAGATATCACAGGTGATGGAGGAATATTGAAGAAAATAACACGGGAAGGGGATGGATGGGCTACTCCTAACGATGCAGATGAAGTTCTAGGTAACTAACTCTCCCTATTTTCAGCGCATGATCCCAGAATCTTTCTCGTCTGAAAGTTTAAGGTGTTAGAGATGGAGAGGATGACATTATAATGCTTTCTATCTTTCATGTAGTCAAGTATGAAGCAAGGTGTGAGAAGGGAACAGTAATCTCTAAATCTGATGGACTGGAATTTTCGTTGAATAATGGTAATTCAAAGTTGATTTCATTTTCTTACACAATATGCATTGTTCATTTTTATTCCTGAAGATAATTAATATCCTTATATCTTTAATTAGGATATCTGTGTTCTGCCATGAGCAAAGCTGTCAAAACCATGAGAAAGGGTGAAAAAGCAGAGCTTTCTGTCAAATTCTCTTGTAAGTAGATATAAGTCTTCAGTCACGCTGCATAATGTAAACTTAAATTTCTTTAAAAACTTAAGGCGACTCTCCATTTTTAACTCGTAAATTATTATTATTTTTAGATGGGCTTAGGCATTCCGAAGATGGGATTTCTACGATTGATGGGGTTCCACCTTATTCTAATTTGATCATTAATCTTGAATTGATATCATGGAGAAGTGTTATAGATGTCATGGGAGATGAGAAAATCCTAAAGAAAGTAATGAAATTGGGTAAAGGATTTGACCGGCCAAGTGAAGGATCCCTTGCAAAAGGTAATTCAAGCAAAGAAATTCATATAAAAAATAAATACATATATTTCTGGCCTGAAGTGTTTTGCTTTTGAAGTGATCTTGCCTGAATTCCTTTCTTTTGAAGTGATCTATGTTGGCAAACTCGAAGATGGCACTGTTATTTCAAGAAAAGGATCCGAAGAAGAACCTTTTGAATACACATGTTCAGAAGGTACATTTTAACTCTTTCCTGCTTATTCTTCAATTAAGTTCTGAAATAAGTACAATTCATAATAAATCTGTGATCAGGTTGAATGTTATACTTTTTCACCATTTATTTTTCATTCACAGGAAAAATCGAGGAGGGTTTAGATAAAGCAGTAATGACTATGAAAAAGGGAGAAGAGGCTATAGTTAAAATCAGCTCTGATTTCTATTATGGCTGTGAAGTTGGAAGAAATTCTTCAGATTCAGTACTTTATGAAATCAAATTAGTGGATTTCACCAAGGTTTTTCCTACAAGATTTAGTACTTTATGAGGTTTAAGTTGTTCAGAAAAAACATGAAATTTTTGAATCAGCATGGCATAATCTAAGTATGACATATGTCTTGGGTTCAGGACAAACCATTTTGGAAAATGGAGATCCAAGAAAGAATGGAGGCTTGTGAGAGAAAGAAGCATGAGGGAAATATACTGTTCAAAGCTGAGAAATTTCAGCTTGCCTCTAAGAAGTATGACAAGGAATGTGATCTTCGAAAATACAGTAATACTGAACAAAACATAGGTGCACGAGCACGAGATATAAAACATTTTTTCTGCACAAACTAAAATAATAGTTTTCTCAATTTCTACATTCTGCAGGCTTCAGAATACATAGAATATAACCACTCTTTCAGTGCTGAAGAAAAACTCCAGGCAAATTCTTTGAGAATATCATGTTATTTGAACAATGCAGCCTGTAAACTGAAACTGGAAGAATATCTCGAGGTCTCTAGACTGTGCACCAAGGTTTCTCTAACTTTCTCTTTTCTGTTTCGATAAATTTATTGCAAATATATAACGTGCAGATAAGTCTTCATTCAGTTAACTATAAATCGTCACTTGTTAGGTCCTAGAACTGGATTCATTCAATGTTAAAGCTCTCTTCAGAAGATCTCAAGCCTATATGAGTACATCTGATTTAGAGAAAGCTGAGGATGATTTGAAGCGTGCTTTAGCCGTTGATCCAAAAAACAAGTATGTACCCAAATTCCCATTTTCCTTACTTCTCCGTCATTACTTTTACCACATTCTTGAAGGAATTCATTCCTGATGTGTTTAAACATAATTGTGCATTATCAGAGATTTGAAACTCAAACACAAGGATCTGAAAGAGAAACAGAGACAATATTTTCAAGAAGAAGCTAAGATTTTCAGTACAATGATTTCAAGGACAAGGTAGGTGTTCTTTCCAGATAGACAAAAGCTGGCTATCAACAACTCAATCAGTGTGCAATACAGCAAACAGGCATTCAACATACAAGAAACTTGTGCATCAGAACCTGGAACACCACCACTTGAAATATATCAGTGTGTTCAAGTGATCATAATAGTAAATAGCAATTTTAGTTGCAACGTTCCATACCGTAGATACCAAAACTCGGTCCAGTTAATCCATATTCTAATGATTTAGAAGTTCAAATTGTATGAAATCCTAGACAGTTGAAAAATATGACAGTGCAGAATAATCATATCTATTTTCTGCTGAATTGGAGGAAGTAGTTAATGTATACAATCCGGCTAAAAATTTTTGGTTAGCTGGGATTTTCCAAAATAGTAATATAAAGGAATAAATTAAATGGAAAACTACGAGATCTAGTCATAATTTGCGAAGTGGAGATATAAATCTTCAAACTTTAACAGTGAACTATATGATACCATTATGATCTCACTTCTTTCAATACTTCATAAGCCAATAACAAGTATTCTTCATATAACCCATCTCTGTGAATATACATTGCATTGGGTCTTAGTATTGCAGGAGTGTAAAGTTCAGAAGAAAATTTTGTCTTACTCTCTTTCCATTGATGATCGATAGGTAAGTTGCAATTTGTACAACATAAAGGGATTTTATTCTAGAACTATAAAGCTGAATTTCGTTAACACTCCTCTCAAGTTTGGGATGAAAATATCTTTCATTCTGAGCTTGTCTAGTTTCCGATGAAGTGAAGCACTAAGCAATCCCTAAGTGAACGTCAGCAAGCTGCTCTCCAATTGACACATACAACATACATAGCGATTCATTTTTCAGTTTCTCCTTTACGAAATCATGATCTATCTCCACATCCTTTGTGTGGTTGTGTTGTATTGGATTATGAGCTACATTAATAACAAATTTATTGTTGCGGTAAAGTTTAATGTTTTCCATTCAATTGATTCCCAAATCATCTAGGATAACCTTTAGCCATAGAAGTTCACACTCCCAAAGCCATAGCACGAAATTCAGCTTCTATATTTGATCTAGCCTGTAACGCCCCGACCTCTAGTGGACCGGAACACTACTTACTTTACTTAACTTAATCGGGTTGCATCATTCTCCATCTTCTCCTCCATCCATGCCCGAGGTAGAATTCCTTCAATCTGTAAAGATGGGATTAACCCGTGAGTTGAAAAACTCAATAGGTGTCATAGGTGCATTTGTGATCAAGCTATACATTTCAAAACATTAACTTTATAATTTTTCATACATGCCGCACCCGGAGGCACCATTTGACATGAAGGGATATGCCGTACTCGAGGGTACCATTTGACATACGAACATTTCTTCAACATAGAGGGGTATGCCGTACTGGAGTACCATTTGATATACAACTATTAACATAGAGGGATATGCCGTATCGGAGTACCATTTGACATACAAACATTAACATGAATCGAAACTTATAACTTAACACGATTAAACACATTGCACCTTTGCCTACCTTGATTGATGCTTTTGAAACTTTGAAAAGTTGGATTGAAAACTTCGATGAAACTTGGACGTTGAAAGAAATGCACCCCTTGGATGTTTGAAAATCATTGAGAATTGATGTTTGAAAACACTTCTTAAACTTTTAGGAAAAATAGTTTTCCTCCCTCTCTTTTTTTCTCTTGAAAACTCTTTCTTTAGTGTATAAAAGCTCTTGCTTTTGGTGTGAGAAAAAATGAGTGAAATGAGGTCTCTATTTATAGGTAAATATCCCATAACTTAAAGCAAATGAAGGGTCAAATTTCATTTAAGAGAGAAAACATGGGTGTCATTTAAGTTTGAGGTTAAATGCTTCAATTTAATGGGATTTTTATTGCCGAAAACGTGGGTAGGCCTTTGAGAAAATAATTGATAAAAATAAATATTTAAATTCTAGAGAAAAATGAGAATTTTCGGTCGATCGATTGTAGTCCGGTTGACACTGCATAGCTTTCAGTATTTCTATCATAACTTCTTCTCCCGATATCCGATTGAGGTAATTCAAAGTGCGTTGGAAAGCTAACTCAAAGAACTACAACTTTTATTTATATATCATTTTCCAAATAGAATGTTTCCTATGTCAAAAATGGGTCTCAAATGAGATTAAAAATCTGAAGTATACTTTAGTCATCCAATATTCATGTCTTAGTGTCTCTAAAATGTTTAGAATTATTTGGGGTTCTACATCCCCCACACCTTAATTAAAATTTCGTCCTCGAAATTTATCTTCTAATTGGGCGAATAGTGTTGGATACTTGTCTTTGGCTTCTTCTTCTTTTTCCCAAGTGGCTTATTCTACGTCGTGATGATTCAACTGTATCTTAACCAGCTGAATCTCTTTATTCCTTCGTTTATGCACTTTTCGATCCAATATCATGATCGGTAGTTCCTCGTACGACAAATCTTTCTGTACCTCCAATGTTTGATAACTCACTACATGATTATGATCATGTAAATTCTTCTTTATCATCGATATATGGAATACATTGTGCACTGTCGATAATTCAGGTGGCAAAGCTAGTCAGTAAGCCACATTTCCGACTCTATCAAGTATCTCGAAAGGTCTGATATATCTGGGTCGTAGCTTGCCTTTCTTTCCAAATCTAAGTACACCTTTCATCGGTGCTACTTTCAGAAACACTTTATCCCCAACTTAAAATTCTAAATCCTTCCTCCTTGTATCTGCATAGCTCTTTTGCCGATCCTGTGCTGCGTTTATTCTTGAACGGATCTTATCGATTATCTCGACCGTCCTTTCAACTATTTCTGGTCCTAAAACTCTCTTCTCTCCGACTTCATCCCAATGAACAGGGGATCTACATTTTCTACCATAGAGAGCTTCGTATGGTACCATTCCAATAGTTGCTTGGAAACTGTTATTATAAGCGAACTCTACTAGAGGTAAGTATGACTCCCAATTATCTCCTAGATCCAAAACACATGTTCTCAGCATGTCTTCCAAAGTTTGGATGGTCCTTTCAGACTGACCATCGGACTGAGGGTGATATGCTGTACTAAAGTTCAGCTTCGTTCCCATAGCTCCTTGTAGACTTTTCCAAAATTTGGACGTGAACCTTGGGTCTCTGTCAGACACAATGGATACAGGTACACCGTGTAATCTCACAACCTCTTTAATGTACAACTGTGCCAATTGGTCTAAACTGAATGTCATTTTCACTGGAAGAAAATGAGCTGACTTCGTTAGTCAATCCACTACTACCCATATAGCATTATTTCCTCTTGCTGACTTTGGGAATTCAACCACAATGTCCATCGTGATATTTTCCCATTTTCCATTCAAGTATATCTAGTGGATTTAACAATCCAGCTGGTTTTTGTTGTTCTCCTTTAACTTGTTGACATACCATGTACTTCTGCACGTACAACCCTATACTTCTTTTCATATTTCTCCACCAAAATGTATCTCGAAGATCTCGATACATTTTCGTACCACCGAGATGTGCGGTGTACGAGGTGGAATGAGCTTCTTTTAATATCTCGTTTCTCAAGGCTTCATCCTTCGGTACGCAAATTCTTCCTCCAAATATCAGTGTCTGATCCTCAGCTATTCCAAAGTCCTTTTTCTTATCGATACCAACTTCATTCTTAATCTTCTGCAAAAATGAGTCTTTATTTTGTGCTTCTATAATTCGATCTCTAAAAGTAGGTCGAATTATTAAAGCTGCTAGATGAGCAGTGACTTGTCCTGGTGTGGTAACCACTTCGATCTGCAACTTTTTCAAGTCCTTGACTAATTCCACTTGAGAGGTGGGTAGTGACTTTAATTGTCCCATTGATTTTCTACTTAGAGCGTCGGCCACAACATTAGCTTTACCCGGATGGTAGTGAATAGTGCAGTTGTAATCGTTCACCAATTCCAACCATCGTCTTTATCGCATATTCAATTCCTTCTGTGTGAAGAACTACTTGAGACTTTTGTGATCTGTGTAGATATCACACTTCCGTCCATACAAGTAGTGCCGCCATATCTTCAAAGCGTGTACTATCGCTGCAAGTTCTAAATCATGCGTCGGGTAGTTTTGCTCATGTTTCTTCAATTGTCTTGAATCATAGACTATCACTTTTCCATTCTGCATTAGTACACATCCCAATCCTTGCTTCGATGCATCGCTGTATATAACAAACCCTTTCGTACCTTTAGGTATTGTTAATACAGGTGCTGATATCAACTTCTGCTTAAGTTCTTGGAAACTTTGTTCACATTTTTTCGTCCATTGGAATTTTACTCCCTTCCTTGTAAGCTGCGTCATTGGCCCAGCTATTTTGGAGAATCTTTCTATGAATCTCCTATAATATCCAGCCAATCCTAGAAAACTCCGTACTTTGCCAGCATTTGTCAGTGCTTTCTAGTTGGTTACTGCTTCTACTTTTGCTGGATCTACTTTAATCCCTTGGGCAGTAACTACATATCCAAGAAATCCAACTCGTTCAAGCCAAAACTCGCACTTCTTGAATTTGGCATACAACTTCTCCTTGCGTAATACCTCTAGGGCTATTCTCAAGTGCTCTTCATGTTGCTCCTTACTTTTGGAATATATCAGAATGTCATCGATGAAGACTATGACAAACTTATCAAAGTATCGATGAAACACTCGATTCATCAGGTCCATGAACACTGCAGGTGCATTGGTTAGCCCAAAAGGCATCACCGTAAATTCGTAGTGTCCATATCGAGTTCTAAAAGCTGTCTTAGGTATATCCATTGTCTCTACTTTCAGTTGATGGTATCCCGATCGTAAGTCGATCTTGGAAAATACCTTAGCTCCTTTCAGTTGATCTAACAGATCCTCGAGCCTCGGGAGTGGGTACTTATTCTTGATGGTTAATTGATTTATCTCCCTATAATCGATGCACATCCTCATGCTTCCATCTTTCTTCTTTACAAACAACACCGGCGCACCCCATGGAGATACGCTTGGTCGTATGAAGCCCATATCTAGGAGTTCTTGCAACTGCTTCTTTAATTCTTGTAGTTCCTTTAGGGCCATTCGGTATGGGGCCTTAGATACTGGTGCCGCCCCGGGAATTAGGTCTATGGTGAATTCCACTTGTCTATCTGGTGGAATACCAGATAGATCTTCTGGAAACACATCTATGAATTCCCATACTACTAGTACATCTTAAACCCTTATCGTCTCTTGTTTCCCTCCTGAGATACTTACTATATATCCTTGACATGTTTCTTTTCTCAACATCTTCTCAGCTTGTAAAATC